GAGACAGAGCGCAGGGAGGGTCGGGCAGGCGGAGGGGGCGGGGGGGGGGAGAAAATCGGTTTGATGCACACAGAAAAGTGTGAAGGCAGCTAGCAAGTTGCAGTTGGCTCAGCACTGTCAGTACTGAGCTCCTCCTGTGATCCAGGGGAAGGACTCCCAGGCAAGAACAGAAATGACCAGGTCCTGTCAGTGGTGAATGACACACCTTACCATTGCTTTGCAAAGGTGCTACTGAAGATGGTGGTACTTTTTCTGGGGAAGAGTAGGTTGGGGGAAAGAAGCAAAAAGATGATGCAACCTGTGCTGGAGAAATGTTAGAGCTAGCTATGTGCAAGGACCAACAGTTGGAGCTGCTGGCAGCATCTCCTCCCATCCTCAGTTGACCCTGACCTACATGGAAATCTGCTGGAGATACAAGATATCCGGGCTGGGGAAATGCCATGCCACAAGAAGATTAGAAAAAAGATAAAAGGTCGATTCACAACTGATGTCAACATACATCAGCTCTTGAGCCTGACAGTTTCAAGTATTGATGAAATTGCTATTTTAGATTTATCTCACTAGTGTTTCATTAGTGGTTTTTTCCATGTTTAGTAAACCAAGAATCTGGTTACAAGCAAATGAAAAGTACGAAGCTTTCTGCACCAAATGTGTTCATTCAGTTATATGGCTTCTCTAAAACTGTTATGTTTTGCCTGCACAAACCATTCTGCTGTAGTGATGACCTGAAGGTAATTGCATTTGCGGAAGGACAAGACCAGTCAAGTAACATATTGGCATTGTTTAGATAGTCACTCAGCCTGAACAAAAATCACCCTGACTTCCTTTCTGAGGGAAGAAAACAAGCCTCTTCTCAAAAGCAAATATGAGGCAAAAACCCCACCAGAACCCACCAAGCCATACTATGAGAGTGAAAGCAAACACTCTTCCAGTTCACTTTTGCATCATACTCTGGGAGCATTTGACAAACAGCTCGTTACACTTGTTTGGTCTTCTGCTCAGTACAGTCTCTTCTGAGAAACACTTTAGATGGAGAAACATCAAGGGTTTTAACTAACAGTCAGTATGGATCATTTGTGTCGGTGGGAGCTGAGGGCTTTCACAGCATCATGGGAACCACGTGGCACCTTGCAAATCCGTTCCAGAGTACAGCAGCCAGCCTTGGAAAGGACAGCCGCAGACTTCTTCAGGGCTTCAGGGTGTATGACCTTATAGGGGCCATGGCCTAACTCTGTGCCTGTTAGGTAGATCTACTCCTTAAGGAACATTAAAAAAATTCAATCTTGCTTTTCTACCCCCTAATTATATACAAATTATAATGAATAAGAACACCAATTTAAACACCTTAACATGAATAACCGCTAATTAGTTTACAAAGGTCAAGACAATGGTTTGCTACAGATTTTGTAGATACTTATGAGAAAAAAATACAATGATGATTGAGGAATTTTCAGAATCCAACACAGATACTGTAAGTCCTTGGGCTATTTCTCACTGTAGTTGCACTTTCAGGGGCTATATCACCATGCAATAGACTACCACATCACAAATCAAGAGCCAGATTTTACCCAGTAGTTTATGGAACTGTATTGATTTACACTAATTGCAGTGCTAATCCAATTATCTTATTGATTTTTAAATATATTAATGAATCATAAGACCTTTTAAGTTATTGTAATATGAAAAATGAATATCACAGCGCTGTGCAGGTCTAAATGCTGCTTACATTACTCACGACATATGATGCTTACTGTTCAGAGACACACACAGAAGTATATGATGCCATCATCAAAGCATTGACATTTACAACAGGAATGTTACTTGTGTTCTGGCCCCAAGAAATGCAACTAGTACAACACAGGTAATGTTCATTAGCTGTAAACACTAAATGGCAACATTTTAAGATTAAGACAAATGAATATTAAAGAGGTTCCTACCTAGGTTCTGTATCCACAACAACAGCAGTTATACTACCACACAAGTGCTCAAAAGTCAGAGTATTCTCTCCTTAAGCAAGTCTGTGCTGGTACTTGGTAGAAGAATCATTAACTTCTAACACAAACTATGGTTTAGGCAGTTTTAATCTCGTCTCCTCCCAGTTCTGCCCTCTGTTAAAGGTCCCAAAATACATGTTTATCCACAGTGGTCAAAAATTAATTAGGTAGAAAATGTGCAAGTGTGTTCCTTCTGTACACTCTTGTGAAACAGCTTTTTTCCTGAGCTTGTCAAGATTATAATAGTTCATACCTTCCTGGCATTTAAAAATGGGGTGTCCCAACTTTAGAAGTGTTCCTGGTTACTGATAGCTAAAACATATTTTGGTATGAAATTTTATTTTCATAGTCTATAGCTAAAGTCCATTCAGCTAAGACTTGCTTAGAGCCAGCCAAGGACTTGCAGGAAGATAAAATATAATGCCTTGGGTACATTGAACAAACTAGGTGTTCAAGAAACACTCGTGCTTTGAAGACTGTTCAGATTTATAGGTCAGTGCTATTAACAGCATAGGTAAACCCAGTATGAAAGTATATTGGGGCTATACGTACTTTGGAGCAGCCCTTTACCTACTTACAGCTCTAGTTCAAGGAAACCTGAACTGTTTTCCTGAGAAGTATTTTATTAGATTGTGCCCTTGTTGTGGA